ACACACACACACACACACACACTGCTATTTAATAATTATAAATACACCTTCAAGTTCTGAAATTTAAACAAGGCCTCCAGAAGATTAACTGTAGTCTAAAGCTTCACTGAAAATACATGCACATCATATATAATAGTTAAGTGGATTGCAACCAGTCAAATGGATTGCAGCTATGTGATTTTCAACAGAATTGACTGTTGATATGAGTTCTTTTTATGGTATCAAAAACATAATGAAGCATTACTAGATGAACGCTTGCTAACTAATATATATATACTGCATACAGAGCCATATTTATGTCAAAATGAATTTTGAAAATATTCCAGATCTTTCATATGATTTAACATAGATATTTCAGTACTGCATAAAATTACCTCATCAGCAAGACACCAGTGGCTCCAAGGCTCATTCCCTTCTGCACATGCAAACTCTAGTCTGCTTTTAAACAAAATTCTCTGCACTGATTCCCTCGATCTAGGGACCTTCTGTGAAACAATGCTACTAGCAATAAGAACAGCAACCAGCCCATTGTAGCCAAAACTGAACATGCAAGCTGGGATTCTTGTTTCTCTGCAGAACAGGCAGCTGAACTTGAGTGTTTATCAGAATGGAAATCTTATTGGGAAGCCTGTGGTAAGTGAAGCAAATCCAGCAGGACTCAAAAGGTGAAGAACGTTGATGCATAGCAGCAAATTCTATAGAATTTCCATGTCAGCTGGTTCACACTAACAACTTCAGTTTGTGTATGCCATGGCCATACCTTTCATAACAGCTTTTGCTGACTCCTATTCAAGTGTCCTTTCAAAAAATCAGCTGTTATGCCAACAAATAATTGAGTTCAACATAAGCACAGGTGTTTTCACCTTTCCGTTTTCTCCAAGCCTCTACATGTTTCAATGTCCATTAAAAGAATCTACAGGAACAACTTTTATTAGACTATCTCAGAACTTTGTTTTCTTTCGTCTTACAGAGGCTGAATTTCTGCATGCTTCAGCTGAAAAATGAGAGGTAATTTATCAGCTGCTTTCAATCTGGAAACTAATGGAATCAGTCCTTCTGATGAAGAAGGTTAACCAAGCTCTTCTATACTATTCTCTTCTTCCTACATAGGAAGATTTTAAACCTTCTAATTTAAAGTGAATAAGGTGGTAACATAATTTTATGCAGAAAATTAGTTTTGTAAGCAGATTTACATTTTAAGCACCATCTGCTCTCTTATATGACCTATTGCTTTAAACTACAGGACAGAAACACATCTCAGGACTGCACGGTTATAGTGAAATTCTGAAATCTGTAATAAAGTGCTTGCATGCAAGGTGCATTATTCCATGCCCATACAATATTTAGTCAGTCTTCCCAAAGCAAATCACAAGCATATCCTAAGTGTAACTTTAATTTTTTATTTAATTAAAAGTAAAATCGTATTTACTCATCCGTCAGTAAGACATGAAATCTGAAGTGATTTTCTAGGAAGATAACAATATCCAAACATTTGAAAATGTCACAGATGAAGCAGACATGAGTGAAAATTATAATACAAATTCATGCAAGAATTTGTGCCTGTGGAACTTGAGGTAAGTCATATTCTCACCAAAAAAATGAATGTATAGACTGATTATACTCAATGAAACTAAATATAAGATGGTTGCTTTTAATTTCCTTGCTTTTTTAAAATACCACATAAAACAAACATGAAAGTACAGTAAGAACCATTATAAGTCTTAAAAACAACACCTGATGCAATTCAAAACAGACACTAACCAAGGAAATAAACTTTCATTATTAACTAGACAATGTCTCTAACCAAGCCTGCTAGGAATAACCTTACTTTTAAATTATTTGTGCTTCTTCAAGGACTAAAGTCCCATCACTATGAGATGGGGCTTTGTCCCATGAGGCATATCTATTTTCACTTCTTTTTCTCCCATCACTCCCCCTGAAAGATGATAACAAATCACATTCATGCTGCCATTTCCATTGAAGTAGTGGCACTTTGCATTGGAAGAGAACTTTGTAGCTAAGGGAAAATGGAAGAACAAGGAAGGGAAAAGACGTTTCACTGGGTCCCAGCAGGACGTGCACTGCAGCATCACCAGCTGTGACTCTGCCTGCTATGCAGCACAGAGTGCCAGCTGACTGCCTGGGCAGGTGGGAGAGCAAACAAATGACAATTCTTCTCTTATCCAGAAGAAAATAACTAAATAAACTCTAAATGAAGCAATGTATCTTAAAGCAATGAAAATTCTAACAAAAAAACTATCAGCTGTATGGTAATGGCATTTTTCATACTAGATGTTTAAAAGGCAACAAACTAAGGCCAAGCAACTCCACTTCCTCAACCTTTATATTAACAGTGCAGTAAAAGCAGCTTTAAGAGTGCCTACTAGGCACATCTGCAAACCTCCTCAAAATACTTTTTCTTTAGAAATTAAGATAAAAGCATAGATAAGGCTTTTGTTTTTTAGATCAACTAGAATCAATCTGTATTCTGGACATCCAAAAGCAATAGAGTACTGGCTTTTCTCAGAAATACTTTAGCTACCCTACAAAAGCACTGAGAGTGTATTTTACATTATCTTCCAGGCAAATTATATGAAGTTATGGATCTGTAAAACACTCTTCATACCATTGAGGAATTTGGTAAGGGTATTTTCACCAATTGATATGAACTTCTTCCATCACAACACAAAGATTGACTTGCTTGTATTCCTTGATTCAGTGCTCCCACATCTTTCATATACTAGCCCCACTCTGATTCTGGTGACTCTACATCTACTAGTCTTGAGCAACCAGAAGAAAGGAAAGAGGTGCAGGGAAATGACTTCCAAATTAATCACCTCTGTGAGACACTGAATTTCAAGTTAAAAAAATAAAATTAACTGAAGCACAGAACAGAAAAATAGAGAAGTATCTTTCCTCTCAGCAGCCAGAAAACATTTCTGAATGTCATTTTCTTAACACAGAAATAATATCTCTAAGTGCAATTTCCATAGGACCTGAACTCTCTATGCTTCTACTTCCATGAACCCAAACAGAATACCTACTAAACTCAGAGCTGCCGAAGAACACTTTACAAAATCCTACTGAAAAATCAATTGTTTTTTGTTTAACAATAACATACATTATCACAAAAATGATCAATCCTTCGATTGTAAATAATCCTTCAGAAGAACTGTGTTACATCATCCTTCTCAAACCACTACAGAGTTCTGACTTCCAAAAGCAATCCTTGGACTGGTATCAGAATGGTCTTGTTGACTGAACTATGCAGACATGAAAGCAAAATTAGGACAAAAAAGGATTTTGTAAAAACAAGCATCAGAGAAAACATTTTTTCACAGCCATTTAACACAAACTTGTCACAAGAGCATAATTGCAAACAAAAATGTAATTTACCTATAACTACATCATGGCCATCAACCAGGCCTGCAGAGAACAGCTCCTGAGAAACGCCATCTGCTGTGTCTGTCCAAAAGGTGAAATGAATAAGTATGAGAGCCCACAAAAACAACAAAAAGTATCAGTCATCCAATGCAATTTAACAAAAATATATTTTAGTTCCAAAACACCCATGGAGGCAGGCTTGAATTCAAAATTATCTTTAATTAGGAGGAAAAAAGATAATCATCTTATCAGCCTCTTCGAAGCAAATCACATGAGGTGATGATTTGATTCATTGCAAACCCCCTACAGACCTTTCCTGGCCACTATAGCATTTCTCCTCTGTTATTTAACTACGTACTCCTACACAGCTTGCAAGTTCAGTATCTTCATAACCAAGAAAATAAACAATGCTTTCGTGTCGTTTTCACTGTTTTCTTTATCCTCTCTGTTGTTCTGCATATCTAGCCAGAGATAGGCTTTCTTGTTTGTGGGGCAAAGGAGTTACATCAATAGTGATTATTTTGAGATTCAGGTTTAAAATAGCTTTTAAATATTATGAATCAGGAAATTCAAAGCTTTGGATCAATTTTCTATTAACTGCTGCACCTGAGCGGTTAATTCCTAAGTCCCTGTGACTGACTAGTACTCGCTCCTGGATAATGACTTTAGAAGGCTTAGAGGTAAGCAGGCAGAAACAGCAGAAACAAGTCTGAATTCCAGCTAAGTCTCAACTGCAATGTGGCCCCAACATCAAACATCTGTATGGAGCATATGCTTTGAGGCAGTTGCATGAAGTTGCATCACTTCCTGAAGAAACATAGACAGGTGAAAAACAATGTAGCTGAGCTAGCTGCAGCTTCTGGAGAGCTTTGGAGGTGAGAATCACAGCTGCCTTCTGTCTGTCTCAATGACTGACTACTAGGAGCAGTCCAGGTATATCCTCTAATTTTTTGACCAAGTAAGAATTCTCAAATGACTTACGTAACTGCTTGCCAAGTAATTCTTTTGACAAACCAAGTTGCTCTGTGCCCAATTAAGTAACAGCCATCTTTCATTACTACTCATTGCCAAATCAATGAGAAAGGCAGGGTAGACAACACGGAGTATATCCATGCACACAACTACTGCACATGAAAAATAGTATGATTTACCAGAAAAGAGACACTTCTTCCAATCTGGATTCATTTTTATGTGGAAGCTCTTTGAAGGCTGTTCTAAATATAGTAAATACTGACTTCTGAGGAATATGAAATGTGTTCATAGTTCAAAAGGTTGATATTTAACAAGGATGATACCTTCTTTACTCAACATATCCTCCTCTGCATTTTATCCCAGTAACACTTGGTTTTCTTCAAACAAACGTAACTGTACAAGTTCTTAAAATTCTCAGCACTGGAAAGCCAATATAGTTCTACAAGCATGCAGTAGAGTTTAAAGTTTTATAGTAGAATTTCTTTCTGGTGATAATACCAAAGCTAGAGAATCATCTCAGCTTTCAGTTGAAGACAGCGTTTGAAAAATGGTGTGCACTTTATACTTGTCAACAGACTTTTTATTACAAAGGGGAGAGAAACTTAAATATTACCACCATCACCACTTACACTTTTATGGTTACTATATTCCATTTCCTACAAAGTTTTCCAAATGCAAAAATGGAAACTCCAAAGCTGTAAATATTGCTATGCAGTATCTTGTATACTGTATAGATCATTTCAATAAGACATGAAATTGATAAAAGCATACTGTGAATCAAGTCTTCTAATATATATATTATGCAACCTTCCCACTGGAATTTACATACATCTGCAATTCTTACTAAAGTGAGGTTCAATATAAAGCTTTGCATAGTAGGAAACATTTCAGAGACGCAGTGTGTATTAACCATGAGCAGTAATCAATTTCCAAAACACCTTTTCAAGCAATAAGGGAATAATTCAATTGCCAGAGCCTTACCTCTGCCTGGAGTAAACTCAAACCGTATGTCATTAAGCTCTTTCCTGGAGTTCCTGAAAAACAGTCAGTGTGTACATTAAAACACAATAAAGAACAGAACAGCTATTCAGTCAATACCCATGGCATTGACAACCGCATTTTTGTTGTGTGTATTTCCTTTAAAACGTTGCCCTCCCAAAGCACCCAGACTGGAAAGACTCCTCATGGCCATATTTTGAGAGAAGTAATAGAAAAATATGCTTAAGCTGAAAAATGCCTTCAGTGACATAAAGGACAGTCCTCTGATAAATATTTCCCTTTTCATCTTCAAAAGACGCTTTGCCATATTGACTCTAATAGCTCAACACCATCTAGTTGTATGTATTATCCCTTTTCCTCCAAGTGCAAGAAAAGATACACTTCGACTCAAAGTTTCCTATCTGAAATGCACACAGCATGTATACCAAGATGCTTGTTTAAGAAACAAAGTATCCAGAAAACGTTAAATGCCAAAAAGTAGTGTCGATGCATGGTGTTTATGAAACTGTTTTAAAATGAGTAACTTCTTTCACTGACCACCATTGTCTCAGCCTTGAGGTTCTATCTACACATAAAACCAGCAGCACAGTGTTAAAACCAAAGGTTTTGTGTCTTTCTGCTTAGTGTTTTTTTAATCAGTTCAGTGTGTGACACTTAAGGGACTTAATACCTACATTAAGAAAATTCCTTTAGTCTCATACTGTGCCCCAAACACATTCATTCCTTGCATGTTTCAAGCTTCAGTTTTAGTAAATAACTTCTACCATCAGCAAAACATTAGCCTCTCTGCAAAACAGACGTCCATCTCATTTTTGGAAATGGCAAGCCGACTGAGCATAGGGATGAATTTAATTGCTGTAGTACACTCTTTTTCCAATGAATAGCTCAATCCACTTCAAAAGCTAATAGCCACAGAATGTGTTTTGCAATCCATTATTCTTCTCCTCAGCAAGGAAACTGCATGAAAGCTCATATTTCAGCATACCAGGCCATGAAGTCTTGCTGTGGGAAAACCAAATCCAATAGGCAGACATATTCAGCTGTGACTTACAGCTATTATTGCTTGCTAAATACTTCTAAGAATATTACAAAGACAAAACCAGCGACACGTAGAAACACAAAACCGAAAATGATTGCCAACATAGACAACAGCAAGATAGCAAACCCTGAAAAATAAGTATGCCACATGCAGTGCTTAAAATGAAAAGTACTCATTTACTGAATCTACTGAATGCTTCAAAGCTGAAGGAGTTTTGGGTTCCCAAAACTCTACTCTAAATAAAGAGCTAAGGGAGTTTAAGATCACTAACACAAAGTGGCAGATAATGCAGCTAGTCAGGTACATATTTACAAGGCTCATTTACTTCTGTTGTAGAAATCTGCTGCCATTATATGAAATATTGCACTGTCTATTTTTATTCAACAGATAATGAGTATAAACCTCCGTTTTCCCCCCTCTCTCTCCTAGAAAAACCTGGATGGCTGTTAAAAAGATCAACATATGACCCATGTCCAAGTTTCCTTTCAACAATCCACTTCCCTTTCCTGTAATTTATTTTATCTGTCAAAACTGCTGCTCTCCAAAACAGGAAATTGCACAGAAATGTAGCATTGTTCTTAAATAAGGTACATTTTGACTGATTGTGTGATGCAACTCAGATAATAATTTTCTGCACACATATTGAAAAAAACAAATCAAGAGAATTAAAACTCTCTTACACCTTTGCAGAGGTAAACCAGAAAGTTTTGCTTCTTATCAGCAGCTATACTGAATATAATCTGTATATATTTTTCCACATAAGAGTCAAACACTAAACCAAATGAGATGTAATTGTGTAGATTTTGCACTCTTACCGTTATCTGTCTATTGACAAGCAGGGAAGGTGACAGGAGGTGTCACCCTCTATGTCAATGACCAGCTGGAGCACATGGAGCTCCATCTGGGTTTGGATGAGGAACCAGCCAATAGCTTATGGGCCAGGATTAAAGGAAGAACAAGGACAGATGACATTATAGCCATGGTCTGCTACAGGCCACCTGACCAGAAAGACCAAGCAGATGAGGCCCTCCACAGATAGAAACAGTCTCATGGTCATGTACCCTAGTCCTTATGGGGAACTTCAATCACCCTGATACCTGTTGGAGACACAACACAGCAGGTCATAAGCAATCTGGGAGGTTCCTGGAATGCATTGATGACAACTTCCTTTCCCAAGTGATAGAGGAGCCAATGAGGAGAGGTGCTATGATAGATCCTGCTCTCACCAACCTTGCCTCAGTCTTCATCAGCAAGTGCTCCAGCCACACTGCCTGAGTCATAGAAGGCAAAGGCAGGGACTGGGAGAATGAAAAACCACCCACTGCAGAGGAAAATCAGGTTCAAGATCATCTAAGGAACCTGAAGGTGCACAAGGTCACAGGACCTAATGGGATACATCCATGGGTACTGAGGGAAGTGATAGACGAAGTGGCTATTCATCATATTTTACTAGCTGTGACACTTTGGTGAAATTCCCACTGACTGGAAAATTGAGGCATAGTCCCCAAACAGAGAAAAAAAGACCTGGGGAACTACAGGCTGGTCAGTCTCACCTCTGTGTCTGGCAAGATCATGGAGCAGATTTTCCTGGAAATTATTCCAAGGCACATGGAAAACAAGGACGTGAGTGATGACAGCCAGCATGGCTTCACTAAGGGAAACTTGTGCTTGACAAATTTGTTGCTCTTCTACAATGAGCCAACAGCGTTGGTGGATAAGGGAAGAGCAATGGACATCACCTACCTGGACTTGTGCAAAGTATTTGACACTGTCCCACATGACATCCTTGTCTCTAAACCACACAGGCACAGATTTGACAGACGGACTGCTCAGTGGATGAGGAACTGACTGGATGATCACACTCAAATTGTTGAGTCAACAGCTCAGTATCCAAGTGGAGACAAGTGACGTTCCTCAGCAGCTGGTACTGGGGCCAGTGCTGTTTCATATCTTTTTCAATGACATGGCTTGTGGGATCTACCATCTTTAAGGTCCCTTCCAACCCAAACCATTTATGGTTCTATGACCTAGAAACCTAATACTTTAGGCTCTCAGATTATATCTTACCACAGACCTCTCATAAGTAGAACATTCACCGCATAAAAAGGCACTAAGTGATTATGAAGTCTTATGAAAATTATAGATTGATAACAGAAAATAATAGACTGATACAGGTATGTGAAAGAGTAGCTGTTCCTGATACAGACGCTTTCCTCAAGCAGGATGCACATGGGGTGTATATTACTTTGCCTCCAAATTGCAGAATATCGTAAATAGAAAGTTAATGAGTCAAATCAGTTTATTTAAGTGAAGGTGAAAATTCAAAGGAAGTTTATATGTACTCAGTCATCCAACTTCGCTATTGGGAACTGTTACACTCTGAACTATTTTGAACTTAGGACACTGCTGCTTTGTCTTTAATGGTATGCTACTTTCAGGACAGCAAAACAAAGGACGTTTGGCAAGATTAATTTGCTAGAAGCCTCTAAGTGCTTTTTCTTATTGTTCCATTACCTTCCAGACATTTATTGATTTCCATAAATTATGTATTCCATTATATATTCCACCAAATTGAAGATGCACTTGAGTTCTCCCCTAAAAGCTGCTCATTCTCTTCTCCAGGCTTCAGACACTTCTCTAGTTCCAGCTAATGTTACTGTAACTGCAAATTAGTTTGCTAGTTCCCTGGGTGACAACTGTTTGGATTTGTTAATTTATTTGTAGGCACAGTTTCCAAGCACTGTTTCATTTGTTCTTTTTTTTTTACTTGCATCCATTACACTCCAATCATGCAGCAGCGCACAGACTATTTCTGCTAAACAGAAACAGGGTTTGAAGAAAGGCACTTAGTATCTTTGTGATTAATAATTTTATCTCCATCATTTCTTAATGGTTCCTAGTTTCTCTAATGCATTTGTGAAAAAAAAAATTATTTCTGTTTTAAAATGCCAACTCAGACCTTTTTGCCATCTCTTATAATACCTCTTATTTGCTTCTTGCTCTGTGCCATTACAGACTAATATACCTTGATTACCATGGATAAAAACAGCCCATCTCATTTTAAAAGTAGTAAATTTAAAGTACTTTTGTGCATCTTAGCACTCTGCAAGTTGCTTTTCATTATGGAATCACCTGCACCGGGAAGAATTCCATGTGCTTTGAGTAAGGGTGACACCAAACCACGCCATGCTAAGATGTTGCGGCAGCCATCTTCCTGGCAAAGTAATTTCAGAATTTAAAACTTTACACTTGATGAAAGCGTGTTCTACAAATCTTCATTATCATCTTGTTTTCATCAGGACCACCTGATGTGCACACTAAGATTGTGAGATCTGATTTTCTAGGGAATAATGCTTCCTAAAAGAACTAGAAATAGCACAAAGCCCAACTTCATTACTTAGCTCCCCACTGATAAATTTAGGCAATCCTGTTGTTGGGATATTAAAGAAAGATACCCTGTTTTGAAGGAAATTATTTGCAGAAGAATGCTAATGTTTACCAAAACCAGGATTAGAGAATAAACAAATTATGCAGATGTTCAGATTGACATGGCTCTACTGAAAAAATCCTAAGGCATGAAAGAGATTTCAGGCATTCACATTTAAAAACAAAGCCTTTCAAATAATTACCAAATGATAGCACAATTCCTGCTATAGTCAATTCATTATGTTCCACATGATTGACAGAAGATCTACACTGTTTAATTAAAATAGAAAATCATGTTTGTGTAATGATGCAGCTGTAAATTAGATACATTAAATGTCATTATTTCTTTTGTCCTTAAATGCAGATTGTCTATCATGTAAGTGCAATTCAAGAAAACAAGATGTCTTGGAATTAAACTTTAGGTTTGAATCATGCTGGCATACCTTGGTTATGTATCAAGCAGCAGATTTTCATTCTCTTTTACTGCTATTTTTTTCCTCCCACAAATTTATCCACCACTTCTTATGCAGAGTTATCTTAAATATTGGCTTCTATTTCACACAAACTTTG